ACAAAACAAAAACCCAAAACAGATGACCAGGCCAGATTACAAATATATTCAATAAGAATTTCCAGGTGTAGTTTTGTTGTTTGCTTTTAAAATTTTTTTTTATTTTTCCCTAAGTTATTGGGGTATAGGTGGTATTTGGTTACATCAGTTCTTTAGTGCTGATTTGTGAGATTTTGGTGCACCCGTCATTCGAGCAGTATACACTGCACCCTATTTGTAGCCTTTTATCCCTTGCTCCCTCACCCCTCCCCTCAAGTCCTCAAAGTCCATTGTATCATTCTTATGCCTTTGCGTCCTCATAGCTTAGCTCCCACATGTCGTTAAGAACATATGGTGTTTGATTTTCCATTCCTGAGTTCAGTTCCTTCACTTAGAATAATAGTCTTCAATCTCATCCAGGTCACTGCAAATGCAGTTAATTCATTCCTTTTTATGGCTGAGTGTATTCTAGCATATATGTATACCACAGTTTCTTTATCCACTTGTTGATTGATGGGCACTTGGGTTGGTTCCATGATTTTGTGTTGTTTGCTTTTTTCAAAACTAAAGAGTGGACAGCCCAAACTGAAAAGCATGAATCCAAATATGGTCAGATTGAGGCATGCTGAGAGAGTCATAGATTTTCAAAGTGAATGGCTTCTATGCCCAAAGATGTGTTCCATTTCCTTGCAGGCAAATCTTATAAAATTAATGTGTGCTTATGTCCGCTAACAGAGGAGAAAGAATGAATTATATGCAATTAAAGATAGTCAAGAATAAATTCTGTTTAGCTTCAGGGTGATTTGTTTTGGCTGTGTCCCCACCCAAATCTCATCTTGAATTGAAACTCCCACAATTCCCATGTGTTGGGAGAGGAACCTGGTGGGAGGTAATTGAATCATGGGCTGGGTCTTTCCAGTGCTGTTCTCATGATAGTGAATAAGTCTCAGGAGATCTGATGGTTTTAAAAACAGGAGTTTCCCTGCAGACGCTCTCTTCTCTTGTCTGCTGTCATGTGAGATGTGCCTTTCACCTTCCACCATGATTGTGAGGCCTCCCCAGTCATGTGTAACTGAAAGTCCCATAAACCTCTTTCTTTTGTTAATTGCTCAATCTCTTATGTCTTTATCAGCAGCATGAAAATGGACTCACCGGGCATGGTGGCTCACGCCTGTAATCACAGCACTTTGGGAGGCTGAGGCGGGTGGATCGCCAGAGGTCAGGAATCTGACACCAGCCTGGGCAACATGGTGAAACCCCATCTTTACTAAAAGTACAAAAACTAGCTGGACGCGGTGGCAGGTGCCTGTAATCCCAGCTACTCGGGAGGCTGAGGCAGGATAATCACTTGAACCTGGGAGGCAGAGGTTGCAGTGAGCCGAGATTGTGCCATTGCACTCCAGCCTGGAAGACAAGAGCAAAACTCTGTCTCAAAAAAAAAAAAAAAAAAAAAAAAATCTATAACCAGGTGCTCTTATACCTGAACATTCTGCTTTGATATAACTTCTGAGCAAGTTTGATGTGATCCTCTACATACTAAACCTCCATAGTCCATATATAAACTGTGAGCTGAAACACGGTGCTGGAGCAGTCAGACAGAACCTCTCTGAAAAATTTCTCCAGGGCCACAGGCCCAAAATAAATAGAAACTTCTAGCCCAGATGGCTCCAAGGCATCATACTTAATATTAAGAACATTAAGTGACATCAATTTATATCAAACTTTAAGCACCTGTCTCACTAAGCTAATGGGAAATTCAGTCTTCGTTGTTACAACGGCTCTCCAATTTGAGAGTGACGTGATGGTTTGTTTTTCCCTAACTTGAAGGTTATGCAAAGATCCTGAGGCAATACATGAGCCAGCTCACTGGGGAGACTCCTCTGATGGCCACCGGGCCACACTGGTCCACTGACTAGGCTGCATGTCCTCCTGCTGTCATCCCACCCTTGGGATGTAGGGGTCTTCAGGGGTTGCGAATGGAGGTTCTTGGGCTTAGAATTTAGCCTCTTCAGCACATCATGCAGCCACCCCTTCTGAGGCTTTTCAGACTCCCCAGATAAATTAGTATCTGTGTCCAAGCTGTTTCTTTAATCTCTCTGTGGATTCTTATGCCAATGCGATACTTTAAGAAAACCTATTAGAGCTTTTAAATACATATTACCATTCTAACAGATTTTTTTCTCATGATATTTCTCCTGGTGCCCCAAGCAGCTGCCTTCATCTCCCCATTCTCATTTTCCCCTGATTGGGTCTCTATTTTCAAATTCTTTTCCAAACAAAAAAAAATAAATTCTTTATAGAAAGCCATGTCCTCTCCTAATCCATCTTTGGCCAGTTTGACATAATCTCTACTTCAGAATAAATTGAAAATCCAAATCCAAAATAAAGAATTGGTCATTTGACACAGTTACAAAATATCATGGCATTTGCTTCTTGTTCCCCACTGAGAAAGCACAGTCCAGTCTCATAATTCCACTGAAGTTTACACAACAAAAATCCTTTCTCCCAGTTGCACAGTGTATGTATTTGCTTGAGGAAATACCTACTCTCTCAAACAAAAACAACTGTGTCTAAAATCCCAGGACACTTCTGGCTTTGGCTACGGTAAATAAAGACTTCCATTTTCTTTCCTCTCCAAGGACATTGCTCAACAAATAAGAGGCTTCACTCTGGCTGGAAAAAGGAAAAGCAAGTCATTACATCTCTGTCTCTCTGCCTCTGTCTCCGTCTCTCTCTTTCTGTCTCTCACACACACACACCACAGACACTAATTCACAACCCCTCCCTTATTGCCCACCCTAAGGACCTTGGTTGCTCTGTTACTCCCAGCTTTATTTGGGCCATTTGCCCTTGGAATGTTGTTAAGGTTTCTCATTGTCAGTTGAAAATCCCTATGACCTCACAACAGAGACTCAAAACTTCTCTTTTGCCCTTCTTCCTAGAGCCCATATTTCTCCCACCCTCCGAAGCTGCCATGCTGCCTGAACAGGTAGAGGCCACACCTGGTGTGAACGCCTGGCTTGTTAGCAGCTCTCTCTCCACCTCATCTGCAGGACATACGTGCCCTCTGCAAGCTCCATTTCACGACTTTCCCGGCTGAGATTTCAGTGGGTTTCACCTCAACTACTTTAGGTGTGTACTGTCATCATCCTCATTCAGAGTAATCCATTCTTTATTAGTTTGTTTTAGAAAGAAATAAGGAAGTATGTAGCCTCAGGATGCTTGCAGTAGGCTTGTTTCTGTGAGGGGATTCAGCCATGTGGCAGAGCCAACATCTGGGGAGGAAGGCCCACAGATGCCCTAGTTAAACAGGGCGTGAAGTCCAACTCCCCTTAGGATATTTCAGTTATATGAGATAATCAAATCCCTTTATTATGTAAGCCACTTGGGGTTGGGTTTTCTGTTACTTGCAACTAAAAATATCCCAAGTAACATACCAAATCTCCTCTAACCCCAGAAAGTGACTTTCCTCCCCTCAAGAGAGGACTTGCCTCCCCTGTCAGGACTAGATGGGCTTCTCTCAAGAACCCAAACCCAACTCTAGTCCTTTTCCTGCTTTCCTTTCTTCTGTCAATGTTCAGTTTCCATTTCTGGCAGCCTTTCATGTCTTCGCTTTTTGTTTTTGTTTAAAAAAAACAACTCAGAATTAGTTTGAATTTTAAAATTTTTAACTTAATTTTTATTTTACTTCAGAAATATCGCCGGGCGCGGTGGCTCAAGCCTGTAATCCCAGCACTTTGGGAGGCCGAGGCGGGTGGATCACGAGGTCAAGAGATCGAGACCATCCTGGTCAACATGGTGAAACCCCGTCTCTACTAAAACTACAAAACATTAACTGGGCATGGTGGCGCGTGCCTATAATCCCAGCTACTCAGGAGGCTGAGGCAGGAGAATTGCCCGAACCCAGGAGGCGGAGGTTGCGGTGAGCCAAGATCGCGCCATTGCACTCCAGCCTGGGTAACAAGAGCGAAACTCCGTCTCAAAAAAAAAAGCAGAAATACCTATTCACAAGTTAGGCAATTACACAGTTCTTAAAACGAGAAGTCCCCACCCTATCCTCCCACCTCCAACTTCTCCACAGAGGTAATCTCTGCCCATTCTTTCTTCTTTTTCTACCTGTATTTACCTCTTACTGCCAAATAAAATGGTTGTAGAGCTATTCACCATTTTCCAGCTTTAGTTATTGTGCATTTTCTGTGATGGAAGATGGCAACTTAGGTTTCTTATGCCTCTCCCACACATGTGCATATCTTCTCCCTTTATTTTCTGAAAAAAGGTTATATCACAGTATTTCACTCTAGCAGCCCAGCCCACCCCACTTATCTGTGGGAGATGCATTTTAAGACCCCCAATGGATTCCTGAAACCATGAATAGTACCAAACTTGATTGCTGTCAATTGGAAAACATTACTGTTCATGTCTTCCACTTTTTCATCACATTCATAAATGTAGTACCTTTTCATCTTAACTAAGCATTTATCACACACTGTGAAGTGTGATAAATACTTTTTGCAGCTTGGGGTGCAACAGCAAAACTAGCACAAATTTCTTTTGCCTTCTTCACAATTTTACAGATAGATTTGTTCTTACTGTGGATCTTAGCAACCTCAGCATGCTTTTTTCTTTCTTTCCTTATTAAGTCGAGAACTTTCACCTTTTCTCTTAGGGGAAGCACTTTACAGCTTCTCCTTGGTGTACCTTATTTGCTAGCATCATTACTCTTATGCTTTGGGGTCATTATTAAGTAAAATAAGAGTGAGTTTAACACAAGCACTATTACACCACAATAGTTGGTTTGATCAACTGGATGATGACTCAGTGACTCATGGGTAGGTAGCATATATATTGTGGATCCACTGGAGAAATCTCACACCATCCCACTTTTCCCTACCCAGAACATGAGTAGAGTGGGATAGTGTGAGACTTCAACACGTTACTCAGAATAGCATGTGTTTTAAAACTTAAGACTTGTTCTTGACTGGCAGTCTCTTGGCTAATAGGAAAAAACAAACAGACAAAGAAAAACTTAAGACGTGTTTATTTCTGGAATTTTCCATTTAATATTTTCAGACTATTTAACCATGAGTAACTGAAGAAAGCAAAATCACAGATAATGGGAGACTACTATAGTCACATTATTTGCTATGTAAATATTATTCACAGCTGAGCCATGTAGTGTACTATGGTTATATTTCCTAACACAAAAATTTCTTTTCCTCTAGCATTTAATAACTGTATTTTGTTTTCACTTGCTTGTTTTTTTATGTATTTGTCACTAGTTTCTCTAAATCTCTCCAAAAGAAATATAAATCCCTCTCAATGTGTATGAATCAATTAATTTCTTCTTTTTCTGGGAGACATCCATATTAGAGCCCTTTAAGAATCCTGCTCCAACATGAATGAGTTGCTTTCTGAGCCTGCCACACACCAACATCCTGGGAATTCCCTTCACCTTTCTCCTGTGTTGGATTCCTTGTTTCCTAGCTACCGTGTTTTCCTCTATCTTGGTTTAATGTCTTATTTTGGATGAACACATCCTCCACTAGCTTTCTGATAAAAGTGTAAGGGTGATGAAAATGCTGAGACCTTTTATACTAAAAGGTTTCTATCTACTCTAACATTTATTTGTTGGTGCTTTCCATGTTAGGGCCTTTTCCTCAAACGTGTTGTGGTCATTGACTGTTGTTCATCATTAAGAATGAGGCTCTGACTGGTTGACCAAATGCTGTGAGTAGAATGGATTTGTTGCACTGTGGGCTTCATTGTCAGGTGAGTAATAGGGCAAACACCCAGCTTTTGTGTTGAAGGATCCCCAGCTATCTGTATCAATCAGCCTTTTTTCTCAGATTACGCAGTTTTCCATAGGAGGATCCTCCACAGGGTCCTGTCTTGACAGGAATTGAGTCTGTCTGTCATCATTCTGGTAGCTAAATAAGGGAAGGGTACTAGGATTTGTGTTTAGCAGGAAGACTAATTTAGTCCCTCCCAACCTTCAGAATGCCATGTCACCTCCACCCTTTACTGTACCAGGAATCAACAACTCTAAGGAGAAAACCTTGGTTTTCTTGTGAAAGTGAGGAGGAGGAGGAAGCTGGTAGGAGACGAGAGCTTTTATTCAGACTTTCAATCTTCCTGGAAGTTTACAAGGGTAGCAGTGGGGAAGCACCCAGCCTATACTTCTACACAGAGAACTCTTACTAGCTGTGTAAACTTAAACAAGTTTCTTAATTGTTCTGAGCTTCAATTTCTTCAGCTGTAAAATGGAAACTCAGAGCTTTATATGTGCTGTCAAATGAGATTAATGAACGCAAAGTGCTTGGCATAATCTGCCTAGCAGGGGCAGTGCACTCAATTGTTGGCAGTTCAATGGTCATGGTGGTAGTAGTTGGTAGTATCCTTAGCCTTGTTTCAGTGGACAGAAAAGCATCTCTCACACTATCTAGCATTTTTCTACTCTCAAGAGGGAAGGCAGGGTCACCCTACTCATCTTCTGCCAAAATGTTAATAGAATTTCAGGGGTGCAACAGTCTTTGCAACTTGCCTTCTACTCCATCTTTCCCTTGTGTGCCCAACCCCAGCGCCTAGAGGTACCTCTTTTATTTTTGGCCTCCATCCCAGTGAATTAATGGGGAGAAGAACAGAAGCAAGGTCAACTAACCTACATCTCAAAAAAAAATTTGAGATACGTGACCTTGATGCTCTCCCTCCCATCCTACACACAACTCTTCCATTTCCTAGGGCAATGCCACAGATCTTCCTCCTACTTTTCCTGTCCTTCCTAATACTCTGGCAAGAGAGAAACAATAGAAATACTGTTGCTTTCAGTGTGTTAGAACTCCCTTCCCAGTGCAAAATGAAATTCTTCCTTCCCCTACTTATCACCAGTTCTCTTTTGCTCTAATCCTTCTCCCCTCTTTTCTCTCACTGTCCTTTCTTGGGACCTTGACGCTGTTTTGTGATAGGTCAGCCTTCCTCTTCACAGTTAGTCTTTCCCTGAATCTTAGGACGTGCTTCTTGTCTGCTCTGGGGTTTCCAGTAGCATTGTTAGTTGGCTATATCTCAGGGGATTGAAGAGGGCAGGGGAGCTGTAGAAGCTAGGGAAGTTGTGGCTGTTTTGAAGAATTTAGAAAGCCTGATGGGCCACAGATCTGGTTCAGGATCTGAAGAAAAGTAGGATCCAATGTGCTCTGTATTTTTTACCCGTCTGAAATTTCAGTCCACAGGACTCTAGTAGGGATTTTTCCTCCTGTATCTCTCATTAACACTCAACAACTGAAAATACACTGAATAAAATTTTTGAAGTAAGTCTTATTAACAAAAGTCATGGTCAACTAAATATTAAGAATCAATCAACATTTGTTGGCAATGATGTAAATACAAAGTCATTTGGAAACTATGAGTGAATGAAAATGGACACAAGGATACAGGAACAGGTCTCATCTAAGAGCTCCTTATACTCTTGTTTCCTTTTTCAGCCACACACTAACAGGGAAACCACACTTTATCTTTGCCTTCTGTGGATGGCCTTTTTTGAGTGCAGACCTTAGTCTGTCCTTAAAATTCTCCCCAGCAAAGTAATAGAGCAGAGGATTGAAGCAGGTGTTGGCTGCCGCCAAGGCCAGTGTGATGACCAAAGCTTTATGCAGCCTGTCTTTGCATATATCCACTTTCCATGTCACCAAGTGGAGCGTCCTCAGTGTGTGATAGGGCAGGAAACACAAGAAGAAGATAATCAAGGCGAGGACAATGGTGATCAGTGTCTTCCTGTGAGAAACTCGCAGCCCCAATTCTGGGACCTCCACTTTTAACAGAACTCGAATGATCAGCAGGTAACAGATGCTGAGTGTGAAAAATGGGAGCAGAAAGCCCACCACCAAGGCAATATAGTTCATGGTCTGCAGCTTATTAAGTTTATAGAGAGTCAGCTCTAAGCATAATGTAATATTGCCGTTCTGCTCAGAGGCATGATCCAGAAGCTTTACTGAGGAAGCCATGATAAAGATCCATATGATCCCACATAGGATCCAGGCACTCCTGATGCTGATGACATGGAGAAGCCGAAAGGGGTGAACAGTTGCCAGGAAACGCACAACACTCAGCACGGTCAGGAAATAAATGCTGCTGTACATGTTGACATACAAGGAATAAGACATAATCCTGCAGGCCAGGTCTCCAAATATCCAGTTAGAGCCTCTAAGGTAATAGTCAGCCCTGAAGGGAAGTGTGCTTATGAACAGGAGATCCGAAATAGCCAGATTTAGCATGAAAACGTTAACGGATGTGGACTTCTTACATGGCTGCAGGAAAACATATATGGACAAGCCATTTCCCAAGACTCCCCAGGCAAATATTATCAGATATACAATTGGGAAAAATTTTCTCTTGAAGTTTTCAGTTGTGCAGTTACTGCTGTTGTTATTGCTGAAGGTGCCATTTGGTTCCATTTCTGATAAGGAGATGGATGGATGTAAGGACATAAATGTTCTCTCTATCCTGGGTTAAAAAGAAACAGACACAAAAAGTTACTTTGTGAATTTCCCTTTTTCCTTCTTGCTTACTGATTATATCTCTCTAGGTTTTAACAAAACAGGGAGCAATACCATTTTTTCTTTGAAAGTTGAGTTTTAAAATATTGGTTAAGTCTTTACTATATGTTGCATTATATTTCATAATAAATTTACATTTTCTGATTTATAAAATGTAGAATAGCCATAATTTGTTTGGCAGAAGCTGAAACTTCAAACTTAGGGAACTTATGACCTAGTGCCCATGTTGACATGAATACCTCCCTGTGAACCTAAAACTACTGAATAGCAGATTTCTCATCAGAAGCTGTGGAGCACAGGAGAAAATGACACATTTCTCAAATGCTGAAAGAAAAGACCTGTCAACCTAGCATTCTATATCCAGCAAAAATATTTTTCAAGTACAAGGAGAAAATCAAGACTTTTTCAGATGACGGAAAACTAAGACTTTGTTGCCAGTAAACCTATCTTAAAAGAATGACTAGGCCAGTTGCAATAGCTCACGCCTGTAATCCCAGCACTTTGGGAGGCTGAGGCAAGTGGATTACCTGAGGTCAGGAGTTCAAGACCAGTCTGGCCAACATGGTGAAACCCCATCTGTACTAAAAATATAAAAATTAGCTGGGTATAGTGGCAGGCACCTGTAATCTTAGCTACTCGGAAGGCTAAGGCAGGAGAATTGCTTGAACCTGGGAGGTGGAGGTTGCAATGAGCTGAGATTGTGCAATTGCACTCCAGCTTGGACAACAATAGTGAAACTCCTTCTCAAAAGAAAAAAAAAAAAAGGAAGTTCTCTAAATAGAAAGGAATTCATAAAAGAAGGAACCTTAGAACATTAGAAAATAAGAACACGGTAAGCCAAAATATGGGTAAATACAATAGGCTATCCATCTCTTTTAGAGTCTAGGTTACATTTAGCATTTTGAAACAAAAATGTTAATGCTGTCTGATTGGTTTTAAATGGATGTAGAGGAATTATTAAGATAATTATATTATAAATGAGAGAAGGTAAACAGACATAAAAGGAGGTAAGTTTTCTATACTTCACTTGAACTGGTAGAATGATAATGTGAATAGATTATTGTAATATACATATATATATATATATATATATATATATATATAGAGAGAGAGAGAGAGAGAGAGAGAGAAATACCTAGAGCATCCACCAAAATGATATACAAAGGGATATACTCAAAGGCATTACAGGTAAATACAAATAAAATTCAAAAAGTGTTCAGATAACCAACAGCAAGGCAGGAAAAAGAAAACAGATAATAAAAACAGAAAACAAAAAATATATTGCAGACATCCCTGATTCATCAATAATTACATTAAATATAAGTAGTCTAAATATACCAATTAAAAGATAGAGGATTGAAATACATTTTTTAAATGACCCTATTATGTACTGCCTATAACAAACACTTCAAATAGCAGTATTGGCTGGTTGAAAGTAAAAGGATGAAAAAAATGCATGTTATTCAAATCAAAGGAAATCAGGAATGGCTCTTTTAGTATCAAATATAGTGGACTTCAAAGCAAAGGACATTGCCAGAGACAGTGAGGGACACTATATAATAACAACAGGGTTTAACCACTACGAAGACATATCAATTCTAAATGGGTATGCACCAAACAACAGAGTTTGCAAAACTAAAAAAACTGAAAGGAGAAATATTTGGTGACTTCAAGACCCTCTCTCAGCAATTGATGAAGCAAATAGACAAAAACTCAGCAAGGGCATAGAGAAACTAAAAACACCATCAACCAACAGGATCAAATTGACATTTATAAAACAGTTCACCCAACAAGAGCAGAATATTCATGCTTTTAAGTGCACACAAAAGTGCAAAAACAATTCAGTGGAGGAAAGATAGTCTTTTCAGAGGCATTGGAGCAATTAGCCATAGGCAAAAAAAAAAAAAAAAAAAACCTTAAACTAAACCTCATACTTTATACAAAAATTAACTAAAATGCAGCATGGACTTCATGTAGAATGTAAAACTATACAATTTTTAGGAAAAAAATTAGAGAGAATCTTTGGGATCTAGAACTGGCAAAGAGTTCTTAGACTTGATACCAAAAACATGATCCATAAAAGAAAACATTGATAAATTGGAGCTCATCAAGATGATAAATTTTTGCCCCACAAAATACTCTGTTAAGATAAAAATAAAAGCTACAGACTGGAGAGAATATTTGCAAACCACTTATCAAAACAAAATTATTTGGAATATATAAAGAACTCTTGAAAATCAACAGTAAAACAAGCTAACAAACAAACAAATAAAAAATTCCAATTAGAAAATGGGCAAAAGATAGAAACAAACACTTTAGAAGATATACAGGTAGCATAAAAGCACATGAAAAATTGTTCAACATTACTGGCCATTAGGGAAATGCAAATTAAAACATGATAAGATATTACTACATACTTATTAGAATGGCTACAATAAAAAATAGTGACTACACCAAACACAGAGAAACTGGATCACTCAGACATTGCTGGTCAAAGTGTAAAATGATAGTCATTCTGGAAAACAATTTGACTATTTCCTAAAAAACTAAACATGCAACTACCGTGCATTCCAGTAATTATACTCCTGGGCATTTATCTCAGGGAAATAAAATCCTATACATCCATGATTACTGCAGTTTTATTGGTAATAGCCCCAAACAGGAAATAACTCAGATAGCCTTCGATAGTTAAACAAACTGTGGTACATGCATACCATGGAATTCTACTGAGCAATGAAAGGAGTGAACCATTAATACATTCAGTAACTAGAATAGACCTCTAGGTAGCTAAGTTATATGAAAATAAAAACGAATTATACAGTGTGATCTCATTTATATAACATCCTTGAATTGAAAAAAGCTATAGAAACGGAGAACACAGATTTGTAGCTGCCAGGGATTAAGAAGGTGGTGAGGGTGGGAGGGAAGTAGAGGTAGCTAAAACGAGAAGTTTGAGGCATCCTTGTGGTGACAGAAATATTATGCATCATAACTGTATCAATGTCAATATTTGGAATGTACAGGAGTTAGAGATTAGCCTGGGCAACACAGTGAGACCATGTCTCTACAAGCAAGCAAGCAAGCAACGGGAGAGGAGAGGAGAGGAGGAGGGGGAGGGGAAAGGAAAGGAAAAAGGAAAGGAAAGGGGAAAGGGGAAGGAAGAAAGCAAAGAGAGAGAGAAAAGAAAAGGAAGGAAAAGAAGGGAGGAAGGGAGAGAGGAAGGGAGGGAAGGGAGGGAGGGAGGGAGGGAGGAAGGGAGAATTAACAGAAATGGAGTTTCATGAGATTCTTTTGAAGTCTTTGCTGCCTTGAGCAAGTATCCTTGACTCAGTAAGGATGCATGCATGTGGGACCCTGTTCATGGCTAGGCTCTGCTATTTTGTTGAGAGCTATCAGCAATGAGTTTATTTTGTTTTCCTGGGAATAAATCCTCATAATCCTTTTAGCCTGTAAAACTTGCTGTAAACCTAGTCAGTTGAAAAATTGTTTTCTAGCCTCTAACAGCTGTTCTATGATCTGTTTATTGTCCTGAGTGTTGTTGGTCTATACAAGGAAAAGTTCATAAGGAAAGCAAAAGTAAAGTCCCCATAAGTCTGTTCTCTGGCTCCAGGGACTGAGAATTCACGACTGACATGCTTTGGACAAACTTTGTCATTTGGATAAACTTTGTGTGAGGTCACCATTTCAAAACTTGTAAAGACTTCCTCTGTCTTATCTTTGTGACCTTGAGAACTACTTTATTTCGTTTCTCAGTCCTCACTGTAGACAACTGACCTTTACTCAAATTCTGGAGACTCAAGATCAGAGAATCAAGGTCAGACAAGTGCCACCCTTACAGACCACTGCATCTCTGATGGGCTCCACTCAACCTAAAACTGCACTTCTTCCAGGCCAGATGCCTGTTTTCTTTCTGATTTCCTCACCGTAGCACAAACATGCATGTTTATCTCTACAACTGGCACAGGTTCACCAAGGACAATATGGGATTGCAATGGCCACCTTGAGGAACTTTTGATATAAACATGATTGTTTAGAGGCACTTCAGAGAAGTATGAAGAAACCTTCAAGAGAAGATTGTCTTATTTGTCTAACAGTGATTCATTTGTTTAAAGTTGGTGATAGCCTCCTTTTATTTCCATACTTTGAGAATTAGTAAGTGCTGGTTAATCAATAAAATTGGCAAGGGCTTAAACCAATTTTAATGTCACTCTTTTTATATTTCAAAAGCTATTCTTTTATATATAAACATTCCTCCTCCTCTTTTCAGAGGGAACATAATTAACCTTTTTTGGTGTTGATTTCATATTCATCTGCAGCAGGCTCTCTTTTCCTTTTTTCCCCTCTATTCCCTCCTCTTTCTTTTCCCCTCTCTTCAGAAATTAATTGTTACCTTATTAAATGAGTCATTCACTTTTTATGTACACATTGGAGGTATATCTAGTTCAGATAGTCAAAATGTCTGGAAAAAAAGGGAAAAATGTTATTAAACTTTATTTCTGTGGGCACTAACAATATATTTACATAGTAGCCTTTATTACAGTCATGAGCAAAGAAGAAAAGGCATTATCTATAAGTCAAAAGATTACATTTTTGGCATGAATCAGACTCTTCAAAAATTACTTTAACATAAAAACTACTGTCACCCCAATATTTTGGTTTCTACAAGACCAGAGTTAAATTTTTTTTATTAAACTGAATTTTCTACATTAGTTGTATGAATTCAACCAGATTCCACTATTTATAAAACTTATTTAAAATTTAGAATTTTAGTTTAATACATATGAAATTGTATTAAACTAAAGCGAATGATAATAATAAATGTCTTTATAATTTTTATGAAATTATTACAATGCTACAAATCGTAAGATTTCATTTGTTAACTAAAATTGTAATTTCCTGATCCTTAACTAACTTTAAGGCCTTAGACAAATGGTTAATTGATAATAATCCTTTGGATGCCTAGACAATCTCTAAATGAGAAACATAAAAACCTGGTCATTAAATAGAGTTACTTTTGTTTCTTAACATGACAATAGATTAACAAAATATGCAATTTCTTTGGATGACATCATATATTTATATATTGAAATTGTTTAAATTGTATGAAATAAATGCTAGTAGACCAAAAAATATCTAAATAAGTTCTGCTTTCTCTCCTTTTTCTTTTGTGCCTAAAGAAAAGGAAGGTTGATTACTTTGGTTAAAGATGATAATTAATATAAATGTTTAATACAGAGAAACACAAATATGCATACAGGATAACAAATATGATTTTCTGTTTACAGGAAAGTTGAAACCATTTATTCAGAGGGTAAATTTTATTTTGACATACATATTATTTTACCTAATAGATTTAATTTTAAAGCTATAGTTAAACATTTAAAATGTATTACCTATTTGTATATTTACATATCTGTATATGCCTAAATGCGTACAGGTAAAAGCATATTAATAAATTGGCTCCTGTAGACTGTTACAAGAATAATGTACAAAAACAGGAAAATTAGAATTTGAATCTTTTTAATATATAAAAATAAGTTTTGCTATGTCCATATTAGTAAATATTTTTTGTCAATAAAATATTCCATTAACTTTCAGTGTAGTGCTTTTGACACTTTAAAATTATTTTTAAAAGACCCCTTGCTTTAATAAAATGTTGTTTCTGATGACTATTGTGAATTGCTATGTGTTTTTACAATGCCGTCTGTAATTATTTCTGGACTCTAGATACTTATGACTTACATCTTGTCTCCTGGAACAACTATTCTTGATTCTTTCCAAAATTCAGGTCCCAAATTCAAAATAATCAAGCTATTAATATGTCTTTTGTGCCTAAGCTATCTTTGGGTTTATTGTAATGGCTATTAGGTAACACAGGATTTGTTTTGTCATCTATGAAAGGAAGGACAATGGGAATAATTACATATTCAAATATCCTTTGAATTTAAATTAATTTAAAAGCATTATGAAAGCTCTTTTATTTACCAAACTTAGTAATAAAAAGCTAATAAAAATATTTTTTCCTAAGTTATATTTAAAATATGCTAATATAAATATCTTTCAAGGATTATATGCTTTTTTTGAGTTAAAAAAGAATACTCCTGTTTAAGCACAAAGATTACTCTAATAACTGTGTATCAAAATATCTTTTTCCAGGATTCTCAACTAACAACCCCATTTTTTTTTTTTTTGTCGTGAAAAGTCGGAACAAACACTAGGAGCTTTGACTGAATGACGTGGGACTCATCGGAAATCTATTGTTTATTTCAGTCTTTCATCAGCTCCAGTAGCCACAGTATAGTTGTCTCATCTAAGAGCTCTAGCAGCTGCAGCAAAGTTTGTGGAAGCCGGAGTGATTTGGTCAAATTAGTCCTAGGATCTACACTAACCCTAATAATTACCCTGCTGTTTTATTGCTAGATATCACTCAGGATTTTTCAGCTAGTCACTTTATCTCCTAAGAAATGTTGTTGGTTTCCCTTCAAATATATTCATCACTGTAACACTCTAAACCCAATGACCCTCCTTCCTTCATCTGTAGAAAAAGAAGCTGATGATTGGTTACCTCTGTTGAGGAACTCTCCACACATTGCACGGACCTTCTATAGACTCCCTTGGATATCCCCAATTTAACTTTGCTTGTTGTTGGTTCAGACTAAACAAACAAATAAACAAACAAAAACTAAAAATTGCCTAGTAGACTATGCTATCACTGACTTGGTGATAGCAAGTCTAGGTAAAGCTTATATTTCAAAAGTAATGTGAGCTTTACCTAGACATAAAATAAGTTCAGATGGCAAAATTAATTGCCCTCATCCAGACCTGCCAGCTGACAAAAGAAAAAAAAATACTTATACCCTGATATAGGCATATGATTTGGGACTAGTCCACGAATTCAAAATGCTTTAAAAAAGAAGAGGTCTCTTGATGCTACAAGAACCCCTATAAAATAGACGGTGAGTCTCAGATACTTGGGAAGCTGAGGCAGGAGGATTGCTTGAGCCCAGGAGGTTGAGGCTACAGTGAGTCATGATTGCACCACTGGACTCCAGCAAAATACTTCTGCTGAGGTCCTGACAAGCCTATCAGCAAAACCTAATCCTTCAGGAGTGAGAACAAAGATTAGGCCTATCCTGGGTAAAAACAGTTACTCAGAGACACTCCAGCCTGCTTAGCAGGACTTGTTTGACTTCACTGAAGGAATTTTCCCACCTCTAGTGAACGCCCCTAACCATCACCAAATTTTAAAAAAGGCAAATTCCTTTTGTAATTAATGATTTTTAAATTTCTACTATTAATACAGTTTCTGCTTCACCAGGACAGTCCTTCTCAGGTGGACATAAGGCTAACACCTACCTGCCACACACTAACTTTCCTGTGTATTCAGGAAAATTGTTAGAGAATTTCAGTTGTTTAAAACTACCACCCCTCTAGTGGATCATGTTTCCCTAGAAAGAATGGAAAGAAATCTCCAAAAAATGCAAGCACAGGAAAGCAAACTCTCCAGATGGAAGGCTACATTCTTGTGTTGCATACTGTGTGTTTTAGTCAAGGTTCTTCAGACAGACAGAACCAATAGGATATTATAGAATTATAGAAGATAGATAAATCGATAGAAGATAGATGATTGATAGATAATTGATAGATAATAATTGATAGATAACAGGTAGATAATAGAGAGATATATGATAGATGATAGATGATTGACAGATGATAGATTATAGAAAATTGATAGATGATTGATAGATGATAGATAATAATGATTAATAGAGAGACAGATGGTAGATGATTGATAGATAGTTGATAGATGATAGATAATTGACAGATAACAGATAGTTAATAATTGAGAAAGAGAGAGAGGGAGAGAGATGAGAGGAGATTTATTAGGGGAAATAGCTCACACATCACGGGGGTGGAGAAATCCCACAACAGGCCGTCTGCAAGCTAGAGACCCTGGGATGCTGGCAGCATGGCTCCATCCAAGCTTAAAGGCCTTAGAACCAGATGTAATTCTTAGGCTCAGTTTGAAGGCCTGAGAACCTGGGAGGCCCAGTAGTGAAAGTCTTAGAGTTCTAAGGCCAGAGAGCCTGGAGTTCTAATATCCAAGGCCAGGAGGAAGAGAGAGCAAATCCTTTTATCTTCTTTTTTGCTCTATTCTGGCCCCCAGCCAATTAGACAGTGTCCACCCACTGAGGGCAGAGTTCCCCTACACAGTCCACTGATTTACACGATAATCTCCTCCGGAAACACCTTCACAGGCATATGCAGAAGTCATGCTTTACAAGTTCTCCAGGTGTTCCTTAATCCAGTCAAGTTGACACTTAAAATGACACTAGGCAAGCAATGACTACTAAAGATGTAAAGTATCATCTAAAACTTGCCTCTGAGCCTGGAGAAAGTCATAAATTATACTACGTCTGCTCTGGAAGCCTAGGTTTAAATTTAAATTTGTAAGGCAGAGTTGTCATGGATAATCACATAGCCTTTAATCTCTTCTTAGCTAGCCAAAGAGAAATCGGAGCAGCCCATGACTATTGGAGGAAAGCCTATTGGACATCTAGAAAAGAACACACAGATTTGGGGGGACGAATTTTCATTGCTTTAATATGATAATCTGGGTCCCTGTTTTCAGAGTCTATTAGAAGAACTAAAAACCACATTTGCTTCTGCAAAGTCCTACTTCCTCGAATCTTACCCTCAAATTACCTAATACAAACACAAATCCTGTAACATATATAATTCCTGACTAACACTCTTTCCTGAGACATCCCAGTTTCCAATGGTGTGCATTTTTTCTGGATACAAGAAGCCCATAAACTAAATTCTGTTAACTACAGCCATGTTCCTAATGGCCTTTGACTAGAAGACCTTGATCCCGAGAATCCCGAGAATTTATAGTAAAGCAGTAATTAATTTAACCTACCCCAAAAGATGATTTGTCAACATATTTCTGATGCAGCAAGAATATTTTTCAATTCTTCTTTGGACATCTATGTGAAGATCATACTCAGAAAACATGGTTGACATGTAAATGATGTAAAAAAGAAGTTCTTTTTTTTTTTAATCCTTAAGTTAGCACTTCCCACATTATCATTACCAAACATGAATCCATGAGATGCTCTGTAAAAGAAAAGGCTTTCTTGGTCAAATTAGCCTGAGAAACATAGCAAGCTCTAATATGCCCCTCTTGGAGATTTGCAGTACATTTTAAAGGTTCCATAAGGTCCTACAGGAAGAAAAAAAAAAAAAAAAAGCCTGATTTACACAGAATTTCTCTCTTTTATTTAACCTTGAAAACTTTTTTGCATGCTAACTCAGTCTAACATCTCATAGAACTAATGTTCTGCACAATCAGACTTGAGGAAATGCTGATGTTGTTATGAAATTTATCTCAAAGATATCATTTATCTCGAATATGATTTTAACAGTAGAGAAAGAGAACCATCACCTAATAGGCTAGATCAACCAGCAAGAGAGTAAGGGAGCATGGACTTCAAGAGTTTGCAGTCAGGGAGCTCTAAGCAATTGCAATTGGGTAAATCAGCATTTCCAAGCATCCCTTACTTCATTTGAAAAATGGAGATTGTACTAGTCCCCTAGGGCTCTTAACAAAGTATCACAAACAGCGTAGATGAAAACAACAGAAATTTATTCTCTCACAGTTCTGAAGGCGAGAAGTCTGAAATCAAGGTGTCAGCAGGGTATACAGTTTGGATCTGTGTTCACCCAAATCTCATGTTCAATTGTAATCTCCAGTGTTGGAGGTGGGGCCTGGTAGGAGGTGATTGGATCATGGGGACAATTTCACATGAACGGTTTAGCACCATCCCTTCAGTGCTGTTCTCATGATAGTGAGTAAGTGAGCTCCTGTGAGTTCTCATGAGTGTTTAAAAGTGTATACCACCTCCCCCTTCTCTCTTCCTCCTGCTCCTGCCATGTAAGACACCTGCTCCTGCTTTGCCTTCACCATGAATAAAAGCTCCCTGAGGCCTCCCCAAAGGCAGATGCCACCATGCTTCCTGTAAAGCTTCTGGAACCCTGAGCCAATTAAACCTCTTTTCTTGGTAAATTACCCAGTCTCAGGTATTTCTTTATGGCAGTGCAAGAGTGGACTAATACAGCAGAGCTGTGCTTCCTTTGAAGGCTCTGGGGAAGAATCCCTCCTTGCCTCTTCTAGTTTTGGGTGGTTACCAGCAATCCTTGGCATTCCTTGACTTATAGACATGTGACTCCAATCTCTTGATTCTGTCATTATGTGGTATTTTCCTTCTGTATCTTCACATCATCTTTTTTCTGTGTTTTCTGTGTCTTCTCCTGTTCTTATAAGGACGCCAGTCACATTGGGCTTAGGGTCCACCATATTCCCTATGCCTTCATCTTAACATTACATCTGCAAAGACCTTATTTCCAAATAAGGTCACTTTCACAGGTACCTGGGGTTAGGACTTGGACATATTGTTTGGGGGTACATAATTCAACCACAAAAAGGATATGTAACACTTATTTCATAGAGCTGTTGTATTATGAGAGACAAACAGTGTATACTTCACAGGGTATTTGGCACAAAGTGTTCCCTCACTGTTCCACCTTTGTGAATGAATGTAGAGATATCTAACTTCAACACCTGTCATCCCATTAGCTACCAAGAATGAGCTGATGACAGAAACTCTCACATTCACATAAGGTATAAGTAAACTCCTCTTGATGTCTTTCTAGGAAGCATCAAGAGTTGTTTACTTTTTATACCTTATGTGAATGTGAGAGTTGATGTCATCTTTCTGTAGAAATACTGATTACTCTCAGATTATTCTGACATGTTCATAATGAGAATCTCTCAAGATTTCTCTACTCCTTTGTTCAAAGCCTATTTCTTCCATGAAATTCTCTGATAACTCATCTGCTCAATGAAGTTTCTCTGGAAAAGTGAATATGGGCCTGTAATCCTGGAACTTTGGGAGGCCAAGGTGGGAGAATCACCTGAGGCCCAGAGTTCAAGACCACCCTGGTCAACATAGTGAGACCCCCCCATCTCTGGAAAAGGTAATTTAAAAACATTAGCCATGCATGGTGGTATGCATCTATAGTCCTGGCTACTCAGGAGGCTAAGGCAAGAGGATTGCTTAAACCCAGGAGTCTGAGGTTGCAATGAGCTATGATCATGCCACAGTACTCCATCCAATCTGGGTGACAGAGTGAGACTCTTGTCTGTAAAAGTAGTTTTTTTTTAAAAAGTCACTATAGATTGTGAACTGGGAGAATACAACAAAAGAAAAGTGGAATACTCCATTATAATCCCCGTTCTAAATTTACAAATCAGAATTATGGGTTAAAAATTAGTTCCCTCTCTGGCAAAGATTTCATGATGAAGATGCCAAAAGCAATAGCAACAAAAGCGAAAATTGATAAATGGGATGTAATTAAACTTAAAAGCTTCTACACAGCAAAAGAAACTATCAGCAGAATAAACAGACAACCTATAGAATAGGAGAAAATGTTTGCAAACTACGCATCTGACAAAGGTCTAATATCCAGTATCTATAAGGAACTTAAACCAACTTGTAAGAAAAAAAACTCCATTAAAAAGTAGACAAAGGACATGAACAGAAACTTTTCAGAAGAAGACAAATTACACATGTAGCCAATAAGCATATGAAAAAAGCTCAATATTATGATCATTAGATAAATAAAAGTCAAAACCACAATGAGATAACATTTCATATCAGTCAGAATGGCTATTACTAAAAAGTCAAAGAAAAACAGATGCTGGTGACGTTGCAGAGAAAAGAGAATGCTTATACACTATTGGTGGGAGTGTAAATTAGTTCAAACACTGTGGAAAGCTGTCTGAGGATTCTTCGAAGAGCTAAAAACTGAATTCCCATTTGACCCAGCAATCCCACTACTGGGTATATACCCAAAGGAATATAAATCTTTCTATCATAAAGACACATTCACGCATATTTTCACTGCAGCGCTAGTCATAAGAGCAAAGACATGGAATCAACCTAAATGTCCATCAATGGGAAACTGGATAAAGAAAATGTGGTACATATGTACCATGGAATACTACGCAGCCATAAAAAAGAATGAGATCATGTCCTTTGTGGGAACATGGATGGAGCTGGGGGCCATCATCCTTAGAAAACTTACATAAGAAGAGAAAACCAATAATATAAGTTCTCACTTATAAGTGGGAGCTAAATGATGCGAACAGATGAACACAAAGAGAAGAACAACAGACACAGGTCTATTTGAGGGTGGATGGTGGGAGAAGGGAGAGGATAAAAAAAAAATAGTTATTGGGTACTAAGCTTAGCACTTGAGTGACAAAATAATCTGTATAACAAATCTCCGTGACACGAATTTACCTATATAACAAACCTGCACATGTACCCCTGAATCTAAAATAAAAGTTAAAAAAAATTTGTTCCCTATTAGTTCTGTGGGTGTAGTTCCCTATGAGTTTTGTGGGTGTAAGTTGATTTGAGAACTGATAAGATGAAATTTATCATATGTAGAGCTAAGCATCCAATCCTATTTCTGAGTTCACTGCTGGGGACTTAGTTCTGATTACATGGATAATGGCTCTCTCATTTTGATCTATCTCACAGCAAATCTGAGGTTCCTAGCTTAGATTGTAAGGTGAATGGTGAGGCCATTAGCTGGAATGGGAAGCATATACTTTAGAGCTCAGAAGACAGGTCAGGGTGGCAGATATAATTCAGGGAAATAGTCACATAGAGGGTGGAACTCTGTAAGCCTGCCTCAGGAAAGTGAATACAACAAAACCAGAAGCTTGGAGTTAGTGTCTTAACTCAATCTTACAGTGAATTAAACTTTCTATCAGTTGGCAGGGCCAGGACAGCGGGACTAGATGCACAACCAGAAGGCACTCCATTGGAATACTGGAGGTGGCACAGGCAGCATGTACAAGCCAGGTCAATAAAGCAAATGCAGAGCCAGATTAATGTCACAATTACATGTCAGCTCTGGATGGGCGGGAGACTAGAACCAGAGTTAACACAGAGCCTAGGGGACAAGGAGACAAGGCATGAGGACTAAGACTACTAAGACTGATATGGAACTGTCAGAGGAATTTTCACAAAAACGTCTCATGACAAATGGCCTTTTATTGAAAAGGACAGAGTCTTGTCCATCCACATGGGCCATAATAGTTTTAAAGAACCTGATTTTGGACCCAAGATTCTGTTAGAATCTTAAGGAAAGCTTACAGTTTAAGTTAGAGAAGGGGCTGGAAAAGTAGAAATAGACTTGAAAGCAATCAAGTCCTTAACTCTTTGACCATGAAGATCACCACTTGTTCCATCTCAAGATCAATAGGGCTGTGAATTGCAGTGAAAAGGGCAGCTCGAGAGAGGCAGGACCCAGCCCTGGACTCCTCCCTTGCTGGGGTATAGCAAGCCCTCAGGGACAATGTCAGCTGCAGATGCTGGAGGTAAGTCCTTTGTCAAAGGCAGTGCATGAAATCCAGCAGGCATGACCATAGACAAGAGGTCACCAAAAACAATGGTAATAGGTGGTCCACCAAAGATTTGAGGGGAGCAGATAGACCGAAACAGACCACAGCAATAAGGACTTCTTAAGCAACTGGCAAGGAAGGCAGACCTCATTGGAGAAGTCAGTCTGTAAGCAGCAAGGCCCTTACTACCAGGCCACAGTGCAAGGAGAGAACTTTAGATTTAGGAGGAGGCATGGCTAGTGCAGGTGGGTCGAGTCCGAGTTCTGAGTCAGACAAAGCCTTGAGCACAGAGGATCAGGCCAAGAATGTGAAGACAAGGGTCCATTTCCCCTAATCAACTGGGAATGACATCTCAGGAACAAAAGAGAAGTTTAATGTTAGAATTGAGGCACAAGATCAGAGCAGCTCCAAGGGCATCAATGAGTCCTGGAGTTGTTTCAGTTCCTCTGCTTGAGGTTGGGGTTGGTTCTAGGGAGCTGGACGGGAGTGGCAAATGGATGGGAGTGGTAGATGGTTGTCAAGCAGCCGCAGTTGTAGGGAGAGTATAAGCACAGAAGCTGGGGGCTTTGATACTAAGAGCATCTTATTCCCCAGAGAGCTAAAGAAAAAAAAAAAATCCTTCCTAGAAACCTCATGTAGC